GTTGCCCATGTTCCATCTGGCTTAAGCTTGTGCCAGCTTCCAAAACAATCAAAGTTCCTTTGTGTAGAAGTTGGTTTGGTCTACGCCGTGATTCCTTAAGGCCAACTTTCTACCCTTGGGTCTTGTAAGCATATATAAATTGGAGGTTGCTTCTTGAAACGTTGGGACCTGCGAGTCCAGCTCTCTATCCTTGCTTCGCCCCTAAGTTGCCAAGGCCGCATTTTCCTGGGCCCTGCGTCCACGGGAAACCCCGACCCGCTCGCCAAATCGATCCATTCGCCAGGCGAGAACTTCACCTCGGAGCTGCGGAACATCGCGCGGGCGGTGGCGCCCGGCACCCGCACGGCGGGGCCCTGTGTGCGCGCTCGCGTTTCTTTCGGGCGCTTCCACTTGGACTATGGCCATATTGGGGTTGAAGGGTAACCATGGCTCACGTGGGCCTTGGAAACAGACCCAGGGTGCCCTTTCGGAAGAAGGTTCGCCATAGCTGTTCGGTACCATGGTGCCTTTTGGCCCACCCATGCCCACCCCCGAGTTGGCCTTCTAAGGTTTGCAAAATGTGACCCAAAATCCACAACCCGACGCGTCCATCAGGCCAAAAAACGGACATGACCCAACTAGTTCGAGAACCTTCGTGCCAGGTGTGGGTGGACTTGGAATCTGGCGCGGCATCCCAGCCTCCAGTCCCCGCGCCAGTTGCCTCATTCACTCGTGTCAGGTGCGCATTGAATTCGGAATGCGGCAGATGGATGCAGACAAATCGGTATGTGTGTATATAGTACATACACGGTATTCGTATATATGTGCGAACGTACATACGTATCAGTGCGTGTCTACGAGCCCTCTATGAGCTTCAAGCCAGTATTCATCCACATTGTATAGGGACAATTTAGGTATAGCATGAATGGGACTAGGTTAGTTCTTGTTTGAAAGCAACCGAAAAAGCTTCCCGACGTTCAGCGTCCTCCTCGTTTGAATGCTACCAACCTATCCTACACACTTGGCGACGAGCGACGTCGTTGGGACCTCTTGCCCATCAATCGCGCCTTTGGTTTGGGCCTCTTGGCCCGACAAGCCAAAGCCCACAATAGACGGGATATATTTTGGTTCTTTGATGTATTTTCTTGTATCAAGGGCCTTTGGGTGAGTTCCATGTGCGAGGGTCTTCCGGGTACACTTGGCTGAACGGGTAAGACTGCGTGAAGCGAACGTGAAGGGAATTGTGCCACCCAAGCGTAGTCAGCACCCCGAATATTTTGGGTTTGCACGTGGAGCATGGTCTTCTAGGCCGTGTTTCTACATCCTGGCCTATTGGCTTTTAGCGGGCCGAAGAAAAGCAACAAAAAGCCAGGATGTAGAAAAAGCAAAAACCCAAGGTTGTGGACAAAGGGTTGTGCTTTTTCTGTGCTCTGGCCTATAGACTTTCAATAGGGCCTACTATTTAAACGTCTTTGTCAGGTTACCAACCAAAATGGATCGTGGATAGCCTATGGGGAGGATGTTTTGGGGTAGAACCACGCCAACGCCATCCGCGCGCAAGGTCTTCGCACAAAGGGCTCCGGGCGACCAGACGAGTTTGATCTCGGGAAGGCGCGTCGAAAACGCAGACCCAAACCAAGGCACGAGGGATCACAAGGCTCACTTAGCCAAGTTGGGTGCCTTGCCCCTTAACTTCTCGCATTGCCAATTCCTCAATTTACCGATAACTCAACCCTTGGCCGCTCGGCAGCTTCTTTTGCTTCTTTGGCTTTAGTTGGCCTCGTTGGGCTACTCGACTCTCGCCGCAAAGAGGCGTGAAAGTGTTTGGTCTTTGCCACCAGTGAATGTAAATTAGTAAATATGACTTGTATACTCAGACTCTTTCGAAATGTGGCGGCGTACCTTGTGCATCCTTCTGGCAAGTTCGGAAGGAAATTATGGAGGCCCAGCATGTGGACTTGCCTTCAGCAAGCACATTGTGTCCTGCTTCAAGACCAATCAATGAGTCACCCCAACAGTTGGCCACGAGATATTTGGTGTGGCCCACAGACTCAAAGCAAAAGTAGTCTTAGAGACAAGTCCATGTATTGGTCTGTTCAGCTACCAGAACCACGCGGGCCGAGAACAGAGATGCCAGGCATGGGCATGCATTCGAGCCGCAAAGCTGCCGCGTTTGCCGGCAGATCGAAGGTTATTGAAGAAAGCTGGATGGGCAAAATCATGCGCCTCAACTTTTGGAGTCAGCCATCTACCATTTGGTCCATCAGTAGCTTGCCTCACTCTCTGTGATAGCTACCAATGGAACGCCCCTTGAAAGTGAGAAGCTAGTCGTGGAGTCACTTTGGCATCACCAGAAAGCCATGTCCTAGGCCTATACCAGTGAGTGTTGAATTGCCTGAGCAGCACATGCCGAGCGCGCGGTTTGTTGGGTGTGTCGTTTTGGGGAAAGCGTTTTTGGTTGTCAAGGGGAAGCAAAAGGACGCCAACCGTGGGCCCCCTGTCGTGAGGCATGTGCTGCACATCATGTGCGATTCACTGCGTAATGCGTTCTCGTGCGTATGCCAAGGATGAATTGTTTTACATTGGCCGGCCAACATTGGCCGCGTGGACCACCCAATGAATACATACATGGGTGTGCCCCTTAATGGCGTTTAAAGGGGGGGAAAAAAAACGAAGCAGTTCTAGAGGTACCCAATCATTGGGCATACTCTTGTGTGGTATAGTTGTCTAGTATATATCTATACATATATATATATATTATTAAACATATGACAATCGTAGAGCCAATCCAAGCCATTGTACCTTTGCTAAACCATTGGATGGGGTGGGAGGTTGGGAGTCTGGGTGCGATAGGAGGGTCAGGAATCTAGCTGCTCTGTTCCCATAGGGCGATTTTGCCTTTAACGTCTACTCGTTGAAAAAGGACTCCAGGCCCCGCGTTCCATGGAACTGTGGGCAGAGATGAGATGGCTCAGCTTGTGGGATCCCCTTGAAAATGCCTCGGCGTCCATTTGGAAGCAATCGGGCGCAGAGATCACTTCGTGTGAGTGGCTCAGGGAATCCCCCTTAAAGGTCATAAGATAGTCGTTGGTGTCGTTAACTTTGCAAGTGCCCAGTTTTGACCCAAAAACAACCCAGAAATCCAAGGGGGAGAGACGAAGGTTGTTCAAAACTGATTCGAACAATCAGACCATTATCCCTTTCAAAGAGAAACAAAATGGAGCTGGTTGAAGAAATAAGCAACCAAGACTCCAAACTGAATTTCGGTTTCCCTGCTGGTTCAAAAAAAAAAGAAACGAAAGGAAGCATTTGGCTGACTTCAAGTCGGACGCCAGGTCTATGACTTGGATCTGCCTCGGCCAAGACCAACCTTTGCTTCCCGCTAGGCTCATGGGCCCAATGGCCCGCCCAATGGCCCTGGAACATGTTCCGAGTTCACATAAAATGCAAGCAGTCCCCTCACGGAGACAGGGGCCTTTGGGCCTTTGGTCTTACTCAGCCTGATCTTGTAGGGAAGCTCCTCTAATCATATGTCCCGTGGCATCCACATTTATTTATAGCTCTATGATGTACGGTCTTGTTGTTCCACGCGCGTGCATGATACTATGATATGTCTATATCCTAATAAACATGTTGGATGAAGATAAAGCCATTTGCAAGTTGCGTCAAGAGAGTTAGACATAAGATCTTGGCATTATCCAAGATTAAGCTATTACGAATGGAAAGAATAATATGGTGTCATCTATCTTCAGTGCAAGTTTCTTCTGAATAGGAGCACTACCCAGCTTGATTGCAAATTTACCTCTATGGTCACTCCCCTTTTCAGTTGGTATACCTGGCGTTGCTTTTCGCATTTCACTTTGGTCGTCTGCGCATGTACTGAGGCCGAGAGCCCTCAATTGGCAAGAGCGAACTCCAAACACTAGAAGGTGAAGTGATTGTGTTTGTCAATGAGTGGCACGTCCCATCTAAAATCTGACAATGGGGAAGAGCATTGCCCATTTCAGAACAAGTTGGAATTTTCAGGAGGAAACCTCCCATTAGCACCCCCTACTTCTGAGCTTCTCAAATGCAAGTTGCTCTGACGGGTCAAACTGAGATAGTTTCGAAACCCGAGGTTGGACCAATGAAATGATTGGGCTCAAGTGGTTGCTTGGGCTGAGGGAAACTGGGAACAAGTAGGCAACGGGAATTGTCACGCACTCGCAGGCTGGATGACATTAAGCCGCCTGAGTTGCCAAGAGACTCACGGGCGCGAGACTAGTTGGGCTTCCGTCCATGGCTCAACGTCATACGAGGGGCCTTGAGATTTCTTTGCTGAGCGTTTGGACTCAAAGTCCTTTTTGTAAAGACCATAGTGGGAAAGCAATGTGCGTTTGCGTGTTTTAGTGAAATCACGTTCGATGCGAAGCAGAGCGTTTGCGCCCAGAGTTGCCAAGCTGGAAATTCTCACAAGCGGAGCACAGAAACGGCTGCAATTGCGGCCGGAGGGTCGTTGTGTCAAGAGTTTTATTTCGCTCAGATCTGTTGGGGGGAGGGGGGCGACACTCATGAATCTGTTTGTGCACGCGTGTGTGTGGTGTGTAGTTGTGTGTGCCTGTGTGTTTGTTTGATGTGTTCCTGCTGGCAAGTGCGTCTGACAACCAGTTTAAAGCCCACAACAGGTCCACACCAAGTATGCAGAGCCAACATTTGTGTGAGAGTTCTGGCAACTTTGCTGGCACGGAATGAGTTAGGGCGGCCCAATTCCAGGCACCTTGGCCGCTCCCCCTACTTCGTGGTTTGGAGTGGTTTGGAGGTAGTGGTCCGGGGTTGTCGTCAGACACAGAACAAAGTGTCAGATCCGCAAACGCCAATTCCAGCGTTTGATGGTTCTTATTTGCCTACAGAGGTAACTGGAAGTTTTCTGCCACCGCTGTCGCTTTCCCAGCTCAATGCCAGCAGACAGGATCAAATGCAAAAGTTGCATGAATGCCATTCACAAAGCATAGGCCCCGCCACGATGTGCAACTCTCACCCAACAGTTAACACTTATTGGTCCACCTTGCAGTCAGCAGCGGCTCTCTTGCGCGACTAGGCCAGAGCATGGGGGATAGATGCTGCGCGATAGTGTGGGCGGAAGAGTGCTTGAACTGTAGTTGCCGGCGCAAAATGTTCAGGAATGAAGTTGTTTTGCTTGAGCATCTCCAATTTCGATTGGGGAAATGTTGTACTTGGCGCAGAGGGTTCCGTGACGTGCCGCCTTCCGTTTTCAAGCAAAGACTGAAGCAACGATTCACGAGCATAGTAGCCCCAATTCTTATGTTGTCCAAACTTGTTTTGGGAAAACTGGGATGTCATGCGGCTAAGTGCTGTGAGTCCCCCCTGACACATGCTCGGATCTTTACTCGGTTTATGTTTCTCGGGGCCATTTTGGCTCAAGTCCTTGACTTGACCCCTGGTTTCGACCTCGGATAGGTTCTTTTCAGGTAGAATGGAATACGCCATGGACGCCGCTTCCGATGCCAGGCAAGATGCTCGCCAAGAGGCAGCTCGAGCTGTGAAGGAAGTTGCCCAGGCGACAACACCGAGGTCTGGAACTGAGGAACCTCGGGCTGGGGACGGCTGCTTCTAGCCCCCGAAAGACTCTGGAAGCACACCCCGTGGACCTCAAGGAGGACAACCCCATCCAGGAGCCCGCTGCGGAACCGGGGGTCAGGACGGCTGCTTCTCCAAGAAGAGCCTCTTCAGCTTGAACAAGTGGCTCTATGTGGCCACCGACCGGGTTCGATAGACTCGAAATCCTGTCGAGGCTCCCAATTCCGACCTTGGGAGTTTTCCGCAGCGTGTCCTCCGACGCCTCACTGGATAACCGCACGTTTTCCGCAGTCGCCTCTTCCAGGGGCAACTGCGGAAAACCGCACGTTTTCCGAAGTAGGTTCGTGATTTGTATGAGCAACTGGTCGGTCTTCTCACAAATCCGAGACTTTCCTCAGATCCTCGTTGGCATGTTTGGGCTCTTTTCCGAGCACCAGCAGCCTGGAATCGAGCGCGAAGTGAGTCCTCCGACGCCTCACTTCGTGATAACCGCACGTTTTCCGAAGTAGCCTCTTCCAGGGGCGACTTCGCGCAAACACTCCTAAGAGAACATGTTTGAAGGACCAGTCACCAGGAACATCCCGAAGGTCCTGGACAACGGAGAGGTAACGGAAGGCGGCAGCTGGCTACGCGCAAGTGGCAGACCTGGCCGTGAACACGGCAGCCTCGGGCAACAACGCAGCTGCCATCCAGTCCCTGGACGACCGGGTCACTGCAGAGCTGGCCTCGAAGCTGGACAGCAGCGCATTGGCGCCGGCAATCGCACCTCTGGCCACGGCAGCAGCCCTGGCCACCACGGACGGGCAGGTGGCTGCGCACGGGAGCAGCATCGCCGCGCTGCAGAGTTCGCTGACCACGGGTCTCTCGAACAAGGCGGACCAGTCGGCCTTCGACGTGCTGGAGGGCGTGGTGGCCACGAAAAGCACCCCCGACGGCGTTGACCTGAAGCTGTCAAACTACAGCACCACGGCAGCCATGAACGGCTCCATCGCCTCTTAACAACGCCACGCTGGCCACGGTGGCAGCCAACTACGGCCTCAAGACGGTGGTGGACCAGCACTCCCTCGACATCGCGAGGTCGACACCAAGGTGGCCAACGCTCTGCTGCTGGCCTCCGAGCTCGCAAGCCGAGACGCCTCCATCTCGGGGCTGCAGGCCTCCAAGGCGGACGCCAGCGCCCTGACCGCGTACGCCCTGCAGTCGGCCGTCGACACTTCCTCGGAGGTGGACTCTAAGATAGCAGCCGCCCTCGATGAATTCGTGGCCTGGATCCAGCAAAGGGTAGTGGACGTCCTGTCAATACCTTGTCAAGCGGCTCTGATCCGTAGCAGGCCCCACCTTTGCGGCACTCCAAGGTGTGGTGCTCGTTTCAAGAGTGGCCATAGATTAAATGCCTCCTTTGTGGCCACACGCTGCTGCCGGTCCTGGCCAAGCATGCGACCCTGCAGTCCCCCAGCCCTGACGGCAAGGGTTGGCACATGGTCAACAACGTGTGGGAGCCCCAGTCACAGAACGTCAAGGAGGACTTCAAATTTCAGTATGGGGTCAAGCAATCTTAGTTAAAATCGAGGTGCAGTTCACGGGCTTCCGATCTCTCGGCCACAAGGTATGCCACCTGCTCGGTTGCTGACCCCCAGCTCCCGGTGAGGGCAGTGTGATTTTTGGCCCGGACATGGCCAAGCCCGTCTCAGCTGGAAGCAACGGCTGCCCTCAAACTTGAAGGGTGTCTTCAAGCAGTTCTTGTAGCTCTTTGGGCAAGCAATGTTGGGACTTCCATGACACCCCGGGAGGACGGCCTTTGAGGATGCCAAACGACCTCATCATCCATGTGACAGAGGTGAAGGCTTTCAACTACACGCGGGCGGCGACCGCAAGGAGATCCTTTTTGGCAAAGACCGGTTCTGGTGGGACCCACGCAGGAACCTGAGGAGTCAGCGGAAGGCTCGCGCGGCGCCTTTGAGGAAGGGGCAGTCCTAGCAGCGGAGGAGGGCAGACCTGCGCCCAGGCCGCTTCTCCCACGAGCACATGATCGCACTCTCCGACCAGCGCAACAAGCAGTTACTCACGCCGGTCCCACATCACAACCAGCGGCGGTCAAGGAAGAGGTGATCCTGGTGCATAAGGGAGGACGAAGGAGGCGGATGACGCGGCCCACCGCGTCGCGTCCATGTACCGCCCAAACCTCCTAAAGTCCGGTACCGGGCACCAAGGAGGAAGGCGAGGCCTTCTACAGGGGCTGGAGTCTGCTTTTTTGGACAAGTGCTTCGGTGGTCACTCAAACTGGACCTTCGTGAACTTGTCCCGGAAGACTTGGAGGCGGGCTTCTACAGGCTAGTATGGGTTGGGCACCGACCCACTCCCGTGCCTGGAGCTCACAGTCAGCTCCTTGCAGGAGGCCCCGCGCAAGGGCAAGCCTGGCTGGCGCGCAACGCCAAAAGACCCGAAACATATCATGGCCTTCAACAAGCTGGACGCCCAGGCCGCACGGACTATGCCTTCTGCTGCAAGGTGGCAAGAGTGCTCCAACAAGGCCCCGGCACACCCGTCGAATCGACATCGCCATCCTCGCTGCAATCGTTCTCTGGAGAAGGGGAAGGTGATGGGACCCTGGAAGAAGGTCATGGCTGATGCGAACCCCACTCTGGAGACGGTTGCCTCGAGCACTGTATCTCCGGAAAGAAAGGGAAGTATGGCGAACCTTTGGACAGCGCCACCCTGGCGGTCATTCGTCTGGAGAACTGGGTCCGCCCCTCTTCGACGCCACCATCACAGGTGTGAATGACAACATTCGCTCCAACATCAACAAGAAGACAACCTCGCGGGGACAACTTCTAGAAGAGGATCTCACCCTCTTCAAGTCGGACGTCAGCAAGGCACACCGGCGCATCAAAATCAGGCGCCAGGTTGCGACCATCAAGAACTTGTTCTGGGTCAACCTCGTGGGCACTTATGGGGTTGCTTCGGCCCAGTTCTACTGGAGCCGGGTGGCAGCTCTCCTGACACGACTCACGTGGTGTTTGTGGACGACTTTCTGCTCTGGAAGAAGGCAGCATCTTGCCGATGCTTCTGCTCACTGGGACCTCAAAGCCGATGCTGACCAAACTTCATGCGGGGGAACTCCACACGAAACCGCAAGGCACGTCTCTCCTGGGCCTCTTGCAGCGGGTTGCTAAGGTCTTTCGCCGCACCTCCAACCCCTGTATGCTTGGGAGCAGAAGCTGGCCAGGAAGTGTAAGCCAGGTCAACTTGTACGCTTTCTTGGTCCTGGGTCCTCCGGTGCCGCCCTTTCATGTTCGCGGCTGACAAGGTGGACACACGCCACCGGGAGGTCCATATCCTTCGGACGGACAATGAAGGAAACGCCTATGCGGCCTTGAAGCGGTCGGCCAAGAAGTGGCCCTGCTCTGCCCTCCTGATGGAGCTCTGCAGGAACAAAAACGGGCCGAAAAATCTCTATAATGGATGGCTTTACTCCGCCGGACCTTTTGGACCTGGATGTCCAGTTGCAGGACAAGACCAATGCGACCAAGGAGTAGCTTGGCACGACCATGTAGCCAGGCGGGAACATGCCCGGTTCGATTCCTCAGTTGCTCTACTAAGGAGGGGCTTTTCTCCACCACTTCCAGGAACCTGCGGTAGTTGTTCGTAGTACTGAGGATGGTTCTGGAGTCTCTGCGATTCCGAGCTACTGCGAGATGGTTCAAATTAACACGGATTACCGCGAGACCGGATTTACTTTTAACACGGACTCACGCAGAACGAGGGGGTATGAAAATACCCCCCAATCCTGTGAGGGGTCGGCAGGAAGCTGACACAGCCAGGAGGCTGTGTTCGCTGCTCTGCCCGCCCTCATGAATAGGATTTTTGCCACCCACGCGGCCTGGGGGAAAAAGATTTCTGGGGAGCGCTGCAGACTGCGCTGTGGCGCCGGGAATGACAAGTCGGCTTCACGTCTAGGCTGCTTAAGACAACATGTTGCCCCCATGTTTGTGGAGGCAACCCACCCCTTTCTGTTTTGTGACCCAAACGAACAGGGCCATACCAAAAACACCAAGGGTTGCGGTAAATGTTCCAACTACCCCCCCTCCAATCGTGGAAAGGAAGCTTTCGCAAGACTGCTGTGCTACTGGGGAACCTCATGGTCCACTGTACTTGGCTCACGCTTTCGTTGCCATCCGTAGCAGAAAGAAAGATGTCCACGCCGGCAAAATGAACGTTTAGGCAGGGCCCACATCCATGAAGCGTCCCGCTTTGTGCAATTCCCATGGTTTCCCGGGTAAAAGATCGATTTGCCCGCTGCAAACTTTGTATTTGTCACTCGCGAGGTATGCGGCTGCTTCTTCTGCTGCTCCTGCGGATTTGTGAGGGGCTTAGTGCCACAGTGGGACCCTACCTGCGCTGTTCAAATATTCTACCAACAGTGTCCCACTATTGATTAGAATTATCGATCGCCTCAGTTTGAACCCAGCCGACAGCGTTCAACCAAATGTGGTGGTGGTTATGCCAACCCTGTCCGAATCCTGCTAGTTCCTAGGTGCTCGAGTTCAGCCCCGCAATATCCGGGGAGAACAATGTAACATACTTGTTCGTAACTTGCAAAGCAACGAGGTTGTCTTCTGTCTAAAGACGCCATTTTGATCTTTTGTCTCCACGCACAAACCACCAGTGTTTAGTTGTACCTCCCAAATGTGAGTACTTTGCCACTCGAGATTGGTTGGCGACTGTCGTCAAGACGCCGCCTTGCAAAGCAATCTTGGACCAGCGCGGGGGGTGAAGGCAAACTAGCGCAGCAGCAACAGCCCTTCCCAGATTCAGCTCCAAGCAGTTCCTTCCCGGGTTTTCTTGGTGGAAGGGTGCCTTTGTTTGCCAGTCTGCAACGGAGGCAGACAGCTAGCGTATTGGACTCTTTTCTCTTTGCACAGCTTGGTACAAAAGGGGCTACAATGGAAAACATATAAAAGCACATTTGGCTCAAACCCCTACTGATCTTCACAAGACAAAGCATGCACGACAGGCACGAAATCTTAGCACCCCCCTTGAAGGCAGTTGGGTTGGGCGCGTGAATCAAAACAGCTACGGTGCGCGGGGCGACCCGCAACGTGCGAACGCTGCCACGCCGGCGCGTCGTTTACAAACGCGGTGGCATCATAGTCGTGGACACCCGTGCCGGCATCATCGGCTTCCAGGGGTGCACAGCCCGCAGCTTTTTGCTGGTCGTTTCGTACTTGCCGAAGTCGATTTGACCTCGTACCGTTGCGCCTCAAGTGCCCCAGGCACGCTTTCTATGTAGGCCATTCCAAGTGACGGCAGAGCTTCCCGCACATCACCGCCACTCTTGGGATGCTTGGTCAAGAAATTTCCTGGGTTTTCGGTGCCTTTGATTTTCCTGAGCACGAGCTTCCCACATTGCACAGCTCCTTGCACGTAGAACTCACACACCTCCAAGTGCCTCAGTTTGGCTCCAGGGCCGATCCTCTTGCCAGCTTGGATTCCAGATGAGCTGTCGCTCCATACCTTTGGTTTGGTGACTGGTAGAAATCCAGCTCGGCAAGTTCATGCAAGAACAACGCTTCTCGGGCTGCTCTTGACACTCCTCGCAACTCAGCATCTGGACTGCTCGTTGCTGGCAGTCCCGGCTGGGTTTGCGTGGTGACTTGCACCACCGCCCCGCCAACCACAGCTACATGTGAGTCTGTGGAGCGTCGGCTCTCAAGGCATCCTGCCCAATCGGAATCGCTGAACACATCGATGCTCAGCGGCCCTTGTTTCTGTGTGGGGTCGAGCGTCATGACGCGGACTAGCTGCAAGTAGGCAGCCAGTGTTGCGGCCGCCTGCCAGTCGCACTCGCGAGGGCAAGCCATGTGTCTGGCAAGCTCCTTTGTAGCATATTGAACATCCCGTCGATCTGCTGACAAATATAATGCACTGCCCACGGCTGAGCGATATTTTGCAGTTCGCTCGCCATCCAGTTCCTCTTTCTGAGTGAGGTCTAGTGGTTTGGAAGGCACTTGCGACTTGTCCCCGGGTTGCAACCCAAGGGCTGCAATGACATTGCGGGCATGTTTTTCATCTGGGACTGTCAGTATGGCGTCCTCAAGACGAATCTTGGTACGGCCCAGCACTTCAACTGCGATGCCTTGGCTCTCAAGCGGCCCAGCCTCAATTTCACAGTGTTTGGGGATTTCCTCATCAACCAAGTAGTTGATTTGGTTGTCTGGGCCTACGCACCGAATGTCATCGATGTGGTGAAGCAACGTGACATCCGCGCGGCTACACGCATGGGTCTTTGACGCCTCGCTTGAACTCGAAGTGGGGTCGGAGCTTCCCGAGCACCTCTTCAAGTTCATCCCTGTAAACACTGCCGGCTGTCCGACGACCATAAAGGTTTCCGTCAAGCCGAAACCAAACGTCACGAAAGCGCGTCTTGTACAGCTTCCGCTCTGCCTTTGGAAGTTGGTCGGACCACTCAACAAAGATGTCCCACCACTCTGGCGGCGCTCGAATGTAGCCCGGCTTTCCTTGCTGAGCCCCACGGTCCGTCCCGATCAGGAATGCGGCAACTATGTCTTGCTGTAACCCTTCCGTAAGGCTGCGACCTCAAGCAGGGAATGCGCTTCGGGCGTGGGCGTGGGAACAGACACGTTCATGTCTTGTTCCTGCTCAGGACTGTATCTGGCTTTGACATCTGCACAGGTGAGAACCTGCTCTTGTAGATGCCCTTGGAGCATTTGTCTACCCATTTGCCATTGAAAACCTCCTTTAGGATAGGCGTGAACGCCTTCTTGTCCCAAAGTTTCCTCAATTGGGCCTTGCGCGCTTGTTCGACTTGCGTTGGGTCTAACAGCTGGTCAATGTAGTCAGTGACGTTGCTGATTCTCTGCAACGCAAAGGGGTTCTCAGCCTCAGTCGACTCACCCCATTTGGCAACAAGATCCCAAACTTCCATTTCAGTGAGGCGGCAAGGCGATTAACCTTGGGCGTCTTGCGCGGGGCTTCCCGCTGCATCTTGCTTGGCTGCTCTCCCTCTACACGTCATTTCGTTTCACGGGCGATGCCCCCCCTGCACCCAGCCAGTCGGCGAGGGCATAGATGCTGGGAGCGCGGCAAGAGGTGAGCTCCAGCCGGAACCTCGAAATAAACTACTTTGAGCGGCTTGCGCGCCATCTGCGTTTGCGTTCGCAGGCGTGGCTCGGGCTGGGCGGCGCTGCCCGCTCCAGCTCCCTCGCTTTCAGGCAGGAGTGCGTCTTCCAACTCCTCAGCCTGCGCATAGCCCTCGACCGCGTTGGCTTCATGGTCGACCCCTGCGCCGTCTTGGGCAAGCAACGGGGCAGCAGCATCTTCTCCATCTCCTGGAAGCACACTGGGGCTGTAGTCCGACAGCTGGCTGTCAGGCCGCGGTGGCTGCACCGTGGGAAGTGGCAAGACGACAACCTGAGATTTTTCCGGATCCTGCACGCGTACTCGGCGCCCGTGCCTGGGGTCCCACGGCAGGCCGCAAGCTTCTTTCATTGCCTGTAGCTGTGCTTGCGCGGGGGCGGGGAGTCTCCGCACACTCCGCACGCTCAAAGCGCCAGCCGGCGTAAGCTGCACGTGAGTATCATCGAGTTCCAGCTTTCCAGCCCAAATGCCTTTGACCCATCGAACTTGAGATTTGGAGCCAGGCTTGGGGAGCTTAGCCATGACAGTCTTGCCGAACTGGCAGATTGGCTGCGTGTAGTCAACACCGTTCGCCAAGCGAAACGGCGTTTGACCGTCCGTGGTCCGTACCTGAAAGCGCGCGGGGAGCCAGGCACTGCGCCGCACCAGGAGACCACCGGCGCCGACATACGCAACTTGCTGCGGCACATGTGAGTCAGCAGAAGGCTTCGGAGGGCCATCCCGGACGGACAGAAGACGCGAGGCTTGGCTTTGGTCCCCGCTGATGTGCTTCACACTTCTGCTTGGGGCGGTGGTCCCCGCACTCCCAACGTGCGAAGCCGAAGGTCCGGCTGTGGACACTGTTGAGTCAGCGTCCCCACCAACGTTGGCAACACCCTTACCCTTCTGTTGCCGTTGGTTTTACCATTGAACCAGCACTCCTGCACCTCATGGCCGTGTCGCAAGCAGATGGGACATCGGTCCTTGTCCTTGCCCTTGTCAGGTTTGCCCCCTTCCGTCTCTTTTCCCTTGTCTTTACCTTTTGCGCTCCGCCTTCGAGTCTTTGCCCTCCCCAACTTTCCCAACGTCCATTGAGTTGGGGTCTTTACGGAAGGAAGACCCGGCGGCGTACCCCGCGCTGGGCATCCAAACTCTCTTCGCCTGCAAGTACGACACGACTACGTCGCGGACTTGGTTGTACGTGGTCAAGGCTGCTGCGTGCGTAGCTAGGTGTTGCAGCAAAGCAGCTGGGGATTCTGTAATCACCACTGCCCGCTTGTCTTCGTCGGAGATGGCTTTGTCAGGGCCATACTCCGAAGCGTACCTGTCAAGGTCAGCTTCCCACTCCTGCAAAGCTGAGGAGAAGTCTAACTCGCGGGTTGGAAATTTGGGGGAGAGCAAAGTGCGTCTCCAAATCAACGCTTTGGAATGATTCTCTGGGTGAAACTCGCCCCACAAGAGGCGCCACAGCTCGAACCCGTTTTGGTGCTGAACCCCTCTAGCTAGCTTTACCGCTGCAGGGGATTCCTGCGCCCAGGAAGTGAGCATGCCGAAGAGGCGGATCGACATTCGCCGCGCTTCATCGGTCATGTCTTCAGGGTCAAGAGGTTCCGTGGATCTTCGGGCTGCATCCATTCTATCAGGGTAGTCAGGGTCAATGAGAACAAGAAAGGTTTCTGTTTGGAAAACAAACTTTTCCCAGTCTTCTTTCCCTTGCAAGGGGCAAGGCGCTTTCGCCGCACTTTTTGGCTGCTTGACCGGTTCTGCACATCGATCAAAGCGCCCTGTACTTGCAGCAAAGCCTGCTGCAGCTCGTTCTGACGGGCCTGACTGGCTTCTAGGCTGACGGTGAAGCATCTCACTTTGACGAGCCTGGCTGGCCTCCAGCGCCTGGCGCATGAGATCCATCTGCCGCATCATCTGCTGCATGACGTCTGCGTCGCTTTGCTGTGGAGTCTGACCTGACATTGTTCAGCTCAGTCTTGCTCCCTCCTGGCTTCTCTTGTGGACAGCTGGCGCTTCGCTCAGCCGCGCTGTCTCCAGGCTCGCGAGCGGGGCAACCCGCTTCGTCGGCAGGAGATGTGGGGGAAGTTTCCTCCTTTGTCCTCGTGGACTTGGCCGGCACGGGCTCGACCTGCAGAGAAATTCCTGTGGTGAAGGAAGTTGACTCACCTGTTCGCTCAGGGCTGGGTGACCAGTCAACGTCCGACCCCGGGTCGTCACCTTGAGCTTGAGCTTGTAGGCGGCGACGCTGTCCTCTATCCTGCCGCCTTTCCTGTGCGGCTTGGCTGCGCGTCCCACGCCTATTTCTTGGTCGCGGGCGGGCAGTCGAGCTGGCGGCCTCGCGGTCCTGCCAGCTATGCCAGCTATGTTCGGACCAGCCTTGGTCACGCCAGTCCCAGGAGGTAGTAGAACCAAGTCGTGGTGTTCACAATCTTGGCGCGGGGCTGGCCGCTGCCAAGAAGTGGGCCTTGAAGTGGAAGGACGGCCTTCCAACCCCAAAGTTCGAGCTGTGCGGGGCTGACCGCTTACAGCTCCGTCGTTGCACAGCAGCTATTTGCAGGGCAGAGGCTGCCTCCGTGACGCCGAGCTTGTCGGCCAACAAACCGTCCACCTGTGCGATGGTGTAGTAGCTGAGCAGGGCGGCGGCGATGCTTGAGGCCGTCGCCGTGTCCAGGCAGCTAGCGTATTTTTCTCTTTGCACAGCTTGGTACAAAAGGGGCTACAATGGAAAACATATACAAGCACATTTGGCTCAAACCCCTACTGATCTTCACAAGACAAAGCATGCACGACAGGCATGAAATCTTAGCACAGTCACTCTTGAACGGCCTCAAACCCGAAATCCGAGATTGCTCGTGGCTGTCAATACGCGACACCTCAAGCAACCCGGCATTCCCAAGCACCCTTGCCCGAGCCCTACGAAGCTCCACAATCTGGTTGCCATGAGGAGTCACTGGGAAAGTCAGACACGTCCGTAAATTCCCAGTCTTTCTTAGTTGAGCGATGGGGATGGGGATGTTGTTAAAGGTATCTGCCGGGGCTCCGTTTTCAGAATCTGGAACTTGACACTTCAAGCAGAATCAAAGCACTGTAGAACTTGTCGGTAAATGATGATCACTCAAATCTACTTCCCCTCTTTACAAGACTCGCTGGCTCGGGATTCCAAACAGTGTCAAACCACGAGGCCCTGTTCCTGGACCCAATGTCGAGCCCATTTTCCCGGGCCAAAACTGGCACATGGCACGCCCAACAGTTTGCAAGGAAGTGCAACATGATGTCAACTGGTAGGCGCTTATTTGGAAACAAGAGCAAATATCCAGTGGCGCCAATGGTTTGCCCTTGAGGAGTTTTGCTACCCCGGCCATTTTGAGGCCTGGCGCAGCCCAGAGTGGAGCAGGACTTCCGAATTCCAAGTTTGGAAGCCTAAAAAAACACAAAACATCCTTTGATTGTTCTTTGATTTGGTGGATTTTTCCGTATGTTGCTCCTTTGATTTGCTAGCTTTCCCTTTGGGTGCTGAACAGCCCAAAATGTATGGGGATGGATTTTCCGAGTTCTCCAGACCCCCGATTTGGCACCCAGTGTGTTTTCACTTGCTTGCAAAGCAACCTCCGAAACAGTCTTTCCACCTCAAGGTGTTCCCCTTTAATTCTCCTTTCCAAATGGGTCAAAATGGTTGTGATTCCCTGTTGGATGGCTTTTGTTGGGAAAGATGAGGCACTGAACTTTTGTGTTTGCCTTTGGGGCCTATCACAAGTTCAGGGCTTCTATGCAAAGTAAAAGTTAAAAGCCGGCATATGGCCCATATATCAGTGGTGTAAACAGCCTCCATTACTTTCAAAACCCATGCCCAAAATTGTGTTGGTCCTCCTGACCCCGGCAAGGTTGGCGCCAGTTGGTGGTTTGGCTCTGGCTTTTCATAGGAAATGCCGAACCAATAAATCCCGATGCTGATGATGTCCGCCAAAGGTTCCGCAATTAAATGTCATACTCCAAACATGTGCGCCTGTGTCTTTTTGGAGGTGCCCTTTTTGGGGTTGGTTTGAGAGACCAAAGAGAAACTAACCATGTTAGGGGTTCCCCTATTTTGAGACACACCGATTTGGCCTTCGCCGAAAAACTTCCCGGAGGATTTCGAGGCGCAGGAGCCGCCCGACAACCCCAACGCAGATGCCTTGGAGGCGGCCCAAGATGATGCCCGGGCCCGCAGTCAGATCTATCCAGACGCGTGGGCTGCTCAATATTTGAAGGTTGCCGTGTCGCTTTGAATTCAATTCCACTGGAGTTCTGGGAAGAAATTGGCTAGTGCGCTTGACTGGCTTTTAGGGTTGACGACATATGAAACAGAATCTGAGAACATGCTTTGTGTCTGCCCTAGAGCGGTTTGTTTTGTGTGGATTTCGCCTGTTGTCCGGCTTGGATGCGAATCTTTGGTGGATTCCACCTGTTCGTTGGTACGTTTCTAGTCCGCTTGTCATGTTCTCCAGGTGTGGATCCACATGAGCCGCATCCTACCCCATCCCCTCGCACCAAGCATCAAAGGAAGTTCACAGGAACCCTTCCCAAAGGCAAAGTCTGCCAAAGCGTGTGCACTTCAATGTTTGGCCGCAAGGATTTACGATGTACGGAGGATAGGGGACGGCCATGAGTAGCTGCTCGAGGCACTAAAGCCCCTCCAACACCTGAACAGTTTGGGCTATGGCTTTGGAATGCTTTGGATCGGGCGAGTTTTCCTGCGGAGTTACTGCGGATAAACTGATGAAGGATGAAATGGTGGACGAAAGAGAGGAGAGAGTGAGTGAGTGAGTGGAGTGGAGTGGAGTGGAGTGGAGTGGAGTGGAGTGGAGTGGAGTGGAGTGGAGTGGAGTGGAGTGGAGTGGAGTGGAGTGGAGTGGAGTGGAGTGGAGTGGAGTGGAGTGGAGTGGAGTGGAGTGGAGTGGAGTGGAGTGGAGTGGAGTGGAGTGGAGTGGAGTGGAGTGGAGTGGAGTGGAGTGGAGTGGAGTGGAGTGGAGTGGAGTGGAGTGGAGTGGAGTGGAGTGGAGTGGAGTGGAGTGGAGTGGAGTGGAGTGGAGTGAGTGAGTGAGTGAGCGAATTGCCCGTCCTAAAGGCTGTCTTAGGGTTATAACGCTCTGTCCTTTCCATTCCATCCAAGTGCTTCCTGACGGGCAATCTTGGATGGTGGAAAAATGGGGGATGTTTGCTGGCAGACCGGCGCGAGACAGATATGTGGCAATGTTTGATTCAGAAACCTGCCGGTGCTCCGAGCCAGTGTCCCGTGGATGACCTTTGCCGAGGCAGTGCATGGCGGCTTGGTGGATGAATGGGACAAGCACATGGAGGTGAGAGGGGAAACCGCTTTAGACGGAATCAGGAGAAAGAAGATGCCCAGAAAACCGTTTGGTTTTGAAGGGTTGCGCATTTTGCGACAGAACTTCCCTTTTTGAAAGGGATTTCACCGCTATGAGCAAAACGCGGGTACCCATTTTGGGCTGCTTTAAAGGGAAGGTCATAGAACAAGGCACTTTGTTGACGAGACTCGCATTTGGGCTCTCAAAAAAGGGGGTCTCCCGGGAATGGGTTTCCTCTTCGTTCCCGCAGGGCTTCACGCCCGAGCTGCTGCTTACCTTTCCCCTGCCGGGCCGAAGCGATGAGTTCTTTTACGAGGCGTGGGAAAATCCACGAGCGAGCGTGAAGAGGACAATGTGGGTGTTTGTCAAAGGGGTCCCAAAAAATAGTTTGGTTTGCCTTGAAAGAGATGCCCTCCTCAACATAAAAAGGAATCCGAGCCACTTTCCGAGGACAAACAAGGTCGAATGTGGGTGCTTTGTATTCGTGGAATCCTTAAGGCCCAGCTGGGGACTGCCTGCCCATTGATGCAAGGGCGATTCCCAGCCATCCACAGGACATCCCCGAGAACAGCCCGCCCGTCCTCATCCGCGGAGGCTTTTTTGCCTCTGCCTCGGAGGACATGGATCTAAGGAAGGCAATGCAGATGAAGGGAGCTGCAGGAACCGGTTCCGGGTTTGAGAGACAAGGCTTCCGCTTTGAGCACGTTCCCAGAACATGCCAGGAGACCTCCACGGTAGAGCCGGAGCCTCGAAGGTGCAAGAAAAGCCAGTACCCCCCCCCCAGAAAAAGGAAAAAAGAGCAGAAACCGTTTGATTCAAAGCCCTTCATTTGCCACAGGGGCCCCAAGACAAGGCCAGGCAAAGGCTTGCCAGGAGTCAGTCTGGCTCCATGTTGGTGTCCTTCTGTTTCGTCGCCATGCGAAGCCTGAGGTTTAGCATCCACGATCCCAAAGGAAAGGTGATCTTCGAGACTGCGCTGCATTATGTCGCTCCCATCCGGTCCACGGATGTGGAAACTGCTTTTTGGGGTCACTTTCTGTGATGCCATGGCGCATGTCACTTTATACTGGCGACCAAAATCAATCAACGACAAACATGTGCCGTTCCCACAGGGCCTGGCTCCAATCCTGGTCTGGCCAGCTAAAGGGGAAGCACTTCTCATCTAGCCTGTGTCAGTGCCTTGCAATGATCACACTTTGCCAAGGAAAAGAAGGATCAGGCCTGACGACACTTGGGCTCAGATGATGAACAGACCTTGCTTGGAAACCGAGCAACTTGCAAACGGCCAGGTTTGTTCCCTCGCCCCCCCGGCCCATGTTCCTTGCTTTGGATCTTTCTAAAAGCAAGGCGCCCTTTTTCCCAAGCAGACGAGAAAGGCTGGCATTTCTTCCCAGAGCCATTGAGGCAAGTGAGTCTAGATCGCTCGCGAGGCAGAAGGATTGTTCCACTTCATAGCCAAACGAAGCGGCACCTACACCTTCATCGCCCTTTGGCCGCGCGTGGGCCGTCCGATTTTTTTGAGTTACCCCGAAAAGAGGGGCTTCTCAAAGCAAAAACAAAGCACATCATAGCAGCCGCAGACAAGTTGGGTGTGCTTGAGAGGGCAGAATTGAAGGGCGACCAATGAACAGAACAACCTTTGGAGGGTTCCCCAGTTTTGACACATTGCCCAACCCAGACCATGTCTCGGCGTGTATGTCCAATGTGATTCAGCCGAAAGTCACGCCCGTAGGCAAAAGTGAACGCGCTTTGTGAATTGGCGAACCACTTGGAAGGAGACGTCCTTGGACGGATCTCCGAGCCTTTGAAACCGGCCATGGGCTTCTGTTGTTTGCCAAGCTTCTGGACTCGAAGAACGTCGTTGGGAAGATCATTTTGGCCGTGGTGTGTCTGTGTGTGTGTGAGCATGCTTAAATTGCGATGCTCTTACAAGGCATGATCATGTTGTCGCAACTGTCTACTCATCGCCATGGTGAACCACTTGTTGTCAGTATCAGTCATGTGTTTGCTTGCGCAGCCACCGAGTGCAATGTGCTGCTCAGCTCAGCTGAAGGAACCAAACAAAAAGACAAGAACCGCACATATATTCGATTTCTGAGAGACCATAAAGGGCTGAATTGTGCCGAAGGCCAGGCCCAAACTGCTTGCTGTTCTGGCCATGGCCGGTTCCTGCGACTTTTTTGCGAAGATCCGATTATTTGGCGAGCTCAGGTCAGCAATCACCGATGGATGGAGGCAACACGCAGGGCCCAAAGTCGTAAGATGTGTTTTTGGGGTTGTTTGCTTCGGTTTAGGATTTTCTCGCAAAAGGGGCAACGTGGCCCAGCTAATCAAAGGACACTTCCCCATTTCAGCTTACTTTTGAAGCGCCCAGACTGATTGTCACAGGGGTTGGTTTTGTTTGAGAATCCGCAATGCCTGCCAGGAGAAGATGGTGACCTTTGCTGTGGGAAAGGGAAACGAGACCCATCTGCAGCCGCAGCATTTGACAACCATGGAGGCAACTGGAGTTTGCGTAGGGATGATGGGAATGACCTACCGCATAACCATGTGTGGAGTGGTTGGTGGGGGTTATTCCCACCTACGTGCAAGCAAGACGCTTCAGTTGTTGCTTCAAGTGTCGCAGTTCAACAAGCGCGCCAGGACCACATCAAGTCAATCGAAAAGACTCTGGTTGACATCCAGACCGAGTCCACATATTTATGGAGCCTGGGCAAAACCATGCTGTTTGGCCTTCCAGAGGAGAGAAGCTCCGGATATTGCCTTGATGAAAATCCCAGAACTCCAGCGCCCTTTTTGTCTGAAAAAGGGGTTCCTTTTTTGTCAACTTCCAGAAACACGGGTGCCCTGTCTTCTCATTGAAATCCACCTGGGCTGGGAAATGTGCGGGGCTTAGTTCGGGGCACTACTCCTTAGCGTTTAGGGTTGTGAGGGTCTGTATCAGCCTTACCATCTTGGTGCGGAGCACGGCAAGAGTGCTCACGGGGCACGATCGGCACCGTATCTTGGCAAAGCGCTCTTGGGCCCCGAAAGTGGTTCGAAAATGAGAAAAGAAAAAGGGCAGTCAGGCATTGCGCAGACTAGTTGATGCATCTTGGTCGATGAGGGACGAGGGAGGATGTTTCCTCTGAAAAGTTCAATGTAATTTCAGTTTCTTTGTCATCTAGAGGCAACGTCCCTCGTTTCGAGGTTTTGGTCAGTGTTCCTGTTTTTCTTTTATTTGATCATTCAATTTGTTAGGAGAGTACTGTGAAGCTATCGGGCATCCTCCAGCTTTCAAGCTTTGATTGCCTTATGCTTTTTGGCCTTTCTGGCAACTGTGAAGGGCCAGAATGACACCTGCTCTGTCAGTAAAGTAGGTGTTGACCAGGCAACATTTGTTGCAGTGCTGAATGTTCTGCTCAATCTGTCTTTTGTCTTGCTCAGGATCCGACAAAAATCTCATATGAAGGCAGGAGAAGGACACAGGTGTGTCTGAAAAGCGATAGATGAGTCTCCGAACCAACCAGTTTTCAACTGGCAGATTTGTTTTTGTTCCCGACTCTGAGACACTCGTGCCACTTGGGATCCGATGTGCACAGGCGGTGGAGAATATCCACACACGCGTGCCGTTGGCTCAGCAAAAACTTTGGGTACGCATCAAAAACAGGGAACCTTGTTCAAATGATCCATTCAAACAGATTTTAGGTTGATTCCTCTTTTGAATCCGAGAAGCTCTTTGAATGATTGGCGCTGCGTGGACCCCAACACTCTGTCTGTGAAAGCGACATTCTCTCCTTTCCACCCATTCTGTGTTTGCAGGCAAGGTCGCTTTGTTGGTGGATTTAAACACATCCCAATCTAAATTATCAAGAAGGGTGCATCCAAAAGAGATCCGCAAAGGCTCCGCGCTCGAAGTTCTGCAAGCCTGTGAGGCTCTCGTTTTGCGTGGTCGAGTTCTTGATCTTGATCGGTGTGTCTGGCTTTCAGGCGCTGTGAGCGTGCTTGCATGGTGACACAAATATATCCATTGCGCACGACAGTGGGTTGGAAGGGCTGCTTGTGGAAGTTGATTTTAGCCTGTTGTGTCGGTAGGCAAGACTGAGAGGACGTGCGAATCAGCAGAATGTGCATGATGAATGCTTGAAGTGAAAGCCCACGCGTGAAGTGAAAACTTTGTCTTGTGCAGGTCTATTACATCAAAGGCCTCCTCTCAGATCGCAGACTGTGGCTTGGCAGAAATTGACATTTGTGGCCCTAGGCCAACCTTTTCAAACTGGCAAGAGCTTCGCATCTGACTTTTGATCAGCGCGCCGCGGTCCAAGGCTGTAGCCAAAGGAATTGATAATGACAGATTCAAAAAAGGAATATGTTGGATATGCATATTGATGAGTTGATATAATTGCTTGCCTGAACATGTCGTTGGTGTTTGTCTTCATGCCACGTCGACTATTTAGTCGTTTTTGTTTTAAGGGCTGCTACCTGATGCTGCTTCTGTGGATTCAGGTTCCAACCCTATGCGTGTTGTATATGCTCATGTGCTCCGCCTGCCGTACAGACTTCAAGATCACTGAATGCGCAGTGTGAAAAGGTAGTCAATGGTTTGGTGCTGCCTAGGTTTTCCCATAGGTGGCCTAGGCTTGATAGCACAGGTTATCAGCCGTAAAGGCCGTAAAGGCTTGTACAAAGACCGCAATGGCATCTGGAGATATACCTGCTATATACGACGTTGGTGATGGTAGCGATGGTGCAGTTGCAGCTACAGGTTCTGTTGATCCACGCGATCCTCGAATGTATTTGGGTTTGCCACCCAGAATATTATGCATGTACACAATGACACGGGCGACGCTGTTCGAGAAGAAGCTAACACGTTGCACCGCGTGGCAATGGATGCCGCAAGAGCGGAGTAAAGTGCTCACCTGGCGGAGACCGTGCATCGCTTGGACGAAGAGAACAATCGTAGCAGCTTTGAGTTGCATGAACAATTTGCTGAGTCCTGCGCTTTCTTTAGTGCCCAAGTCAATCAGATGCTGGGAGCTATTTCTGCCGAGGTCAGTGAAGAGGTTGCACAGAGGACAGCTCAATACGGCGCGCTTGCACAAAGTTTGCGTGCAGAAGCAATCGCAGCAGGAAATTCAGAGAAAGCGATCAGCAAGCAAAGGGACAGGATCCTGGCAGAAAACCATTCTATGCAGGATAACATCAACGTCAACGGGTTGAATGATTCCGTTGAGCGTTTGAAGAGCGAGCTCGAGAAAGCACAGGAGGAGATGTCGGCCAACACTGCAAGCCGAGAAGTTCCTCCTAACGCGCGTGGAGATCCTCAACCTGCATCCAGTTTTCCGAATGTCAGCTCGGAATCATTTTTGGACAGAAGAGGCAACATTTTTGATGATTCGCGTCTTTTTCCAAACCGAAATGCTCAGTCTTCCGGGCCTACGCCTCAGATTATTCCGCAGCAGAGTTGGAGTGATCCTATTTCTGGTGCAATGCAGTTTGATATCAATCAGGATGCGAGAAGGTTTGCGGAGCGAGAACGCGGCCGAGGTTCCGCGCGGCTCTCCTTGGCTTCGTCCGGAATCAGCAGGAGCGGCCCAAATCGAAGGAAGCTGATACTTTGAGGCTGAGCGAGTTTCCGACTCCTGAAACCTACAGAGCCTGGAAAACGGCCACTCGCGAAGAAATTCGGGCTGCATCTGATCGGCCCGATGCTGCATTTACCTTACTAGACAAGGTATACGTGAACCGGGAGGACAAGAAGAATCTTATGCTAGAGCTTGGAGATCCAGAGCAGTTTGAAACGTTGGGCACAAAGCTTCTTGCTCCATTGTCGCGGATTGCTAGGGGCGACCTTAGTCGGCAGATCCTCACCTGAAGGAGCAACAAGCTGCGTTGGATAGGGTTGTCCGTGGCCGTCAAGTTCTTCTGATGTTTGAGCAGTATTTCAGAACCAATAAAGAGGCCGGGGCGTTGCATTCCACTTAAGATTTGCTGAAGGTGGTGCTCCATAACAATGATTTGATGTCTTTCATTCAGAACTGGGACTTGGTCATTGCTGGCATGAAGCGTTTTGAAGGACATGTTCTTGCGACAGATTAGTGGATGTCACAAGATTAAGTGCGACCTTGATACCTACGAGCGTGCCAAAGATGGGTCGTATGACAAGAGCTACGATTTCCTTGTTCAGGCTGTTCGTGGTGTTTTGACTCGGGAGCGATTGCAGTCCAACCGCGATCGTGTTGCTCGAGCTCACAATCAGAAGGTTGGTGCTCCAGCTCCAGCTGCAAATCCTGGTCGTCCAAGAGATCCTTCAACAGTCAAATACTGCTTTGATTTCCAGACGGGCAAGTGCACTCGTGACAACTGCATGTACAAGCATGAGAAGGACCCCAGGCCAAGGCCGGGGGCGCTCTGACAGCAAGGGTCACGACAGGGATCGGTCTGCATCAAGAAAGAGAGCTGAGATGAAGAAGATTCCTTGCAAGTTTTTCAAAGGTGGTCAGGGAAATTGCACTCGTGGGGACAGGTGTGCGTTTTCACATGAAGCTCGGTCTGCTGCACCCGCAACTGACAAGCCAAGCCCGAAGAAAGCCAGTAGCAGAGGAAGATCTCCTACTCCGAAGGCAAAAGGGAGAAAGCGATCCCATGGCAAAAAGGGCGAACCCTCGGCCGCGGTGTGCCTGAGGGTGAAAGGATCTAACGCGTGCCTCGCAGCATGCCGCCCTAAGCAAGATTTCTGGGAGGTTGACTCTGCGAATGACATGATTATTCGACATCATGTGATGCCTCGAAAGGCGCTAATGCAAAGATCTTCCTGTTTCGCTGGAATGTTTGCTGGATCAGCGCATCACCAAGGGCGACATCAATGGTAAAGAACCGGTTTTTGGTGATTTCTGGGCAGATCCTGATGAAGGTCTGGAGCAGTTCTGGGCTGGGCAAACGTGTTCATTTGCAGCACAGGTGCTTCGAATACTGACAAACGCGTGACCCCATGGACCTTTCCGATGCAATAGACAAAGCACTGGTGTTGGAAGGAGTCATTGAGTTGATGCTGGCTGGTTACAATGCGCCATGTTTCTGCGATTACTACGATGACAACGAGCCAATCTATTGTGGTCTGTTCTGCCCTGGTTGTTGGATTGACGATGATGAGACGAATCTTGATGAATTGCCGGAGCAGATTGCTGCGCCAGCAGCGGCAGGACTTCGTCAGTGGATTGTTGATACAAGTAGCGAACAAGATCTGGTTGACACGGAGCGTGCAGTTACACTTCAAAAGGGGATCAATACTGCATCAACTCCCATCAACCTTTCAACAGCAAATGGCTCAATTTGCCTGACAAAATTGCGGATTTCTCCATTGATCAGTTGAACGAGGTCGTCACTCCGTATGTTTTGCCGAGTACAGCGGCTGTCTTTTGTGTTGGCCAAAGATGCTTGGAAAAAGGATACGACTTCGTATGGAGAAAGAACAGTGCGCCGTATTTTGCGCGACCTGACGGTAAGGCGGTGATATTGAAGCTCGATGGGCGAGTTCCATACGTTGATGATCAGTGCGAAGTCTTCAAGTGGGGGGCGACCTGCGCCGGATGTCGCGTTGTTTCCGTTGCGCCCTGACAAAGCTGAGCCGCCTGAGCCGGAGTTTGACCCGGAATCGGAGGTCAATCCGGAAGTTGCTGAAGCTCCAAAGCAAATGTCCAAGCGTTCAAAAGATTCTGATGCGTGAGGCCAAAATTGAAGATCATCTTTTCACTCATAAACCCAAGAATCCGTTTTGCGAGACATGTGTACGAGCCAAGATGCAAGCACCTTAAGCTCGTCGCAGACATGGATCTTCCTCAATAGATGCAAAGGCGTTTGGAGATCACGTGACTGCTGACCATGTCATCTCTAATGACGAGACATGGGTTCAAAGGTGAGTGGAATGCTTTGGTGGTGAAAGAGGTATTTTTTCTGCAAGGCAAGATGCTGATAGTTGCGTTCGTGCTTTTCAACATTTCACAAAGCCGGATGACCACGTTGGGAATTTCTATTCTGACAACTCTGGCGAGATTGCAGCTGCGGTGAAGAGTATGGGCTGGAAGCATGTTCTCAGCCAACCATATGTGAGTCAATCTTCTGGACTCATCGAGCGCGAGATCCGCACAATCCTGACAGGAGCAAGGGCGAATCTGTTTCAGAGCGGTTTGCCGGTTGAGCTTGGCCTTTGGCTGCTCAACATCATGCGTTTGCTCCACATGTTACAATTCCGGATGACAAGGACAAGTCGCCGTGGGCTTTGCGTTTTGGGGCTGAGTTTCCTGACGCAAAGATTCCATTTGGTGCGAAGCTGTCGTATTGGATCAATCGTCAGCGCGTCGATTCCAAGCAGTCCAAGTTTCTGCCTACTTCGGATGTTGGCATCTTTGTTTGCTATAATGTGCAGCCTGGTTTTACCTATACATGAGATTCTGGTATTGCCGCTCAAGAACTTGCCGGAGAAGCTGCGAAATGGTGACACCAATCCCATCAGGGTCAAGCAGTACGAGCCCAGCTTGGAATATCGCACGGAGCTTGAGAAGAAGGTGAAGCCAGCTGCTACAGACGTAGCTGCCACGGCCGTCTATGTTCAGCCCAATCACGCTGTTCATGGTCAGGGGGGCCCAGCTACAAAGCTTTACCCCTGAAATTTCTGTCCCTGCGATGCCAGTCGCAAACCATGAAAGAGGTAAGACTGTTGAAGAGCATCGAGCATGTGTCACTGCAGTTCTCGAGGAGCGCATCAAGGCGAACCGTGAAGATCTGGTGAGTGCTTTATTGATGACTGCAGCAGTTGCAAGGCTTATTCCGCGCTCAGAAACTCCTCAAGCAAAGAAAGCTTTGGAGATGTTGAATGGGAAGCTTAGAAGCAAGGGTACCTGGGGCGAGTCGCGGGTAAAAGAGTGCAAAACTGTCATTGCTAAGCCAAGACAAAAGGGGCTCATATTGCAAGTATCTTTGAGGCGTGCTATCTCAAGGGCAGCGAGCTTGCTGTGGGCGACCCTAGCCGAAAGTGCACCGTTTTCGAAGGAAACCGTGCGGTTGATGAGAACTATGAGCAAGTTCTGGACCTCTATGGATCTCAACCTGGGTTTGGTAAGCAGCAAGGGGATGCAAAGCAAGCATACACGCAGGCGTTGTTCGAAGGCATTGGATTGACAAAACCAATGATCCTTAACTTTGTCACCTTTGATTTTGGCATTGTATGGTCATACTGACAGCGGTGGCTTGTGGGAGAATCATTTCAAGACTGGCCTTCGAAAGAACAAGTGGAGGCTGTTGTTGAAAGGTATTTGGCAAAGTGTGTTTTTCCATGATGAGCTCAAGCTTCTGTTGGTTACT